GAGAGACTTCAAAACTTAGAAACACATGTGGGAATTTGGACTTTATTTATGAGCTTCCCAGAATGGTAGAGATAAGACGTACGTGTCACCTCCGCCTGGCTTGTGCTCTGGCAGACATAATGAATCGATCCCAGTGCTGCTTTCTGCTAGAAACTACTGCCTTCCCAGCTGCAGCTCTCTCCAGCCACTGCTATTGATCTGAAGTGGCAAGTAAGATAGAACCTATTTCCTACTTCTGGTAAAGTCTGTGGTGCTAGAAAGAGCTTTTAATGAGAACTGGAGATCTGTATCTGAATTTTTTTTTTATATATACTTAAAACAATCAAACCAAATATTAAAAAACAAAACACAGCCACACAGTGCGTTTGCAATGGAATCTAATTATGCAGTCAGGGTAACTTTAAGTCAGAGGTTTAAAAAATGGTGACTCAAACAATATTTGATTTTATATTAATAATGAAAAAACTAGACTATTAGAAATTTCTTGATTTTCTTCAAAAAATTTGAAAATCCACAAACAGAAAAATCTCAGCACTCCCACCTGGCAATGATCAAGCCCCGCCCCTTGTGCAGGGGAGCCTGACGCCATTTCCTGCTATTGTCATCTGACCTATTTTACTGATTTATCTGCCTGGACCGTGAGGGAGTTTTTATTTTTGCTCCTGCTTCTGTATCCTAACAGTATCTCATGAAATATTCCTAGACTGTAGTCCTGAAAAAAGAGATAAGGACTATCCAGTTTTTAAAAAATAGGCAGGATTGATCCCCCTTGAATAGGGTCGTGGTGAGTGGGGAGACTGGAGGAAGAAAGGCCCCAGGAAGCAGCACTTGGAAGTCAAGATTCCACGGCCCAGGAGGGGTCTCTGGGCTGGCTGGAAAATCTGTCCCTTTTCCCAGGGCATGTTCATGCTATAATAGCTTAAGCCAGAAATGTCATTTACATGTTCGCTACCTGATTTTTATAATAAAATAATTTTAAAGAGTCAACAACTTTTGTGTGTACCAACAACCCCCCCCAAAACAAAACAAAACAAAACAAAACAAAAACCAGAAGCAAACAAACAAAAAAACCTACAAACATCTCCTAGAGCAATAATTTCCCCAAAGATGAAAGACCCCTGGTCCAAGGCCGGGAAGGCTCAGCACCTTTAGACTCCACCTCCCCTCACACTCCTCTCTGCACTCACAACCCCCGGCCAGCAAGCTCTTGTTTTCCTTTTGGTAGAAATAAACAAGCCGATTCTAAATATGTTGCAAAAATGCAAAGGCACTAGAATACTCTGAGCAATATTTAATGATCAGATTTGGGGACATGCTGTGAAGCTTCGGTGACTAAGAGGATACAGTGTCAGGGCAACAGATTCATCGACCCATGCCGGGTCAAGTCCAGAAGCAGACCCGGAATATTACGCACAATTTAATTTCAAAGCAAGGTGTCAAAGCAATCCGGTGACAGACGGGAATCCAGTATCAAGAAATGGATAGCCATGTGGAAAACCTATAATGCTTTCTATTCAGCAAAAAAGTAGGATGTGTCAATTATGTCTCCATAAAATCCTTTTTAATGAAAACTGCGGTGTTAGAGAGCAGTGGTAAAGCTTCGAACCTTCTAGAGGAACTTGGGAGAGAATGACTCTGGGGTGAGAAGCATAACTGTATGGTCTACAAAATCGCAGGCCACAGAGAAAAAAATAACACATAGGCACTTGTAAAAAAATTTAAATTCTGACCCACAAAGTACATTATTAGGGAAGTAGAAATCAGACTTGGAGAACATATTTGGAATGCATATACCCAAAAGGAAGAGTGTGCAGGACGTAACACAGACTTCTTTAGCTTGACAATAAAAGGCAATTTTTAGAAAACAGTAGATCAGGTCACCGAGGAAGAAGATAACAGAAGTGGCCGAAACCTGAGGACACGGCTCCTCATTGGTCGCTGGGGAGATCTGGATGCAGATGGAGGTGGGTGGAGCCCCCCACACGCGGAGGAGCGGGGTACCAGGGCCCACCAGGGGTTCTGAAGCAGCGGAGTCTCAGAAATACTCCTCAGCCGCTTCTTGCATCACTGAACGAACACTTAGCTTGTGGCCCGCACCCCTATTCCAAGATATTTACCCCAAAGAAATGAAGAAACAGGACCTCCCTGGTGGCACAGGTGGTTGAGCACGGCACTGTGAAGCTGTCCGCAGCCTCTGCAGCGCGGGTTTGATCCCGGCCGGCCGGCGAGGGTCCCACATGGCGCAGCAGACCTCTCCTGTCTCCCCACTGCTCCCCTCAGCAGTGTATTTCAGTAGATCCACCTGTTCTGTTCCCCACTCTGTCTCTGGTGAATCCTCTCACCCTCCTGCACCTCTGGCCTGTACCCCGGTTCTTGTATAAAAATAAATAAATCTTTAAAAGAAAATAAAAAAAAAAGAAATGAAGAAACATCTGGGTTCACCGAAGGACTGCGTGAGAACGCTCACAGCCACTTCATTCACCGTGACCCCAAACTGGAGACATTGAGGCTGCCCTCTCAGAGGCAGCAGAGGCCCTCAGCAGTGCTGACTGTGTATTGCTGCTGACCGATGTCCCCAAAAGGCAGGAGTTAAAATGTCAAAGCTGGTAGCCAGCTGCCACCCGAGGCTCAGGCGCCTGTGGGCAGGTGACACGGATCTCCCGTGGGTGGTGGCCAGGCTGTCACCCAGGCGGCGAGCATTGAAGGCTGCTAGAACCAGAGTCTGCATGTCCACCCTTGCCCGGGGTGCAGCCACGCTGGGGCCTCCCCAGGGCCAGCCTCTAAGGTGGTCCCAGCCCCTGCTGGTGCCGCTGTCACATCTGATCCCCTGCGAGGGAGCTGGTGCTGCAGCAAACGTTGGATGTGCTCTGTCTCTCCAGATTGCTTTGAGTTTTCTAGACTTTTCCAAACGTGCAGTGGTAGAGTACATTGTTTTGTACCTGATTTCCTTTGCCCAGTAGAATAAATTTGAGATTCAGTGTCCATCAGTTCCTCGCTGACTGCTGAGTGCTAGTCCGGTGTACGGACAGGCCATTTTACCTGCCAGTGGGTGTTTGGCTGTCCCTGAAGGTTTGTGTACAGGTGGCCTGGGGAGGGAGTCTCCGTTCAGGATTGTGGGTTGCGGGGCTCCATCACGCCCGCAGAACAGTACACCAAAAGGGGTACGTTTCACCAAATGCAGACTTTAAGAAGCGCACCCCGTGTGAAGCTGTTAACATGCCCCCCCCACCCCCAGTTCCCGTGTTCACGGCAGCTCAGGCCCCAGGCCCTGAGCAGAGACACCGTATTTCAGCCACTCGGTCACACCTCCCTGGATGTTCAGATCAGAAAACAAACTGATGGCTGCTCCAGCCGGAGAAGCAGCGCCCAGACGTTCTTTGACATGCAAATATATTTTGAATGATACTTGAGATTTACAGTGATGAGATAAAGAGAGATGACACATTTGCGGTTGTAAATAACTCCCACATTCAACGACAGACGAGCTTCTCCTTTGTTCAGAGCTGCTCCGCGCCAGGTTACTCTTCGCCAGCGTGGATGACTCGCTGTAATTACTCAGGGTGTGAGAGGAAATAAGATTTGCGTTACTACCTGTAGCTGTTACTCATGGAATCATCTAGGCCGACGCCGATCAATCTCAGTTAAATCAGCTTTCTCTTCCTGCCAGGCAGCCTGTCAAGCAGGTTGCAAAGGACTTTCCAGAACTCGGGGTGAGGGTCTGATTCTAGACCCGGATCACTGGATTGACAGCCGGGTCTAATTATGACCTGATGGTGGAACCATATTCGGGCTGATTAGCTGTGCAAACCGATTATTTGCTTTAATGGAAAGTTCACATTTCTCATTTCTCTTTATGAGCAGAATCTGACTTAAGGAAGTGTGTGTGTGTGCCTGTGTGCGTGCCTGTGTGTGTGTGTGCGCGCGTGTGTCCTAGAGACCACAGATCAGCCACAACGTTGCGTGTGTGGACTTGTGTGCTGGACACACAGGGCCTGGGGAGGGTGAGCGAGGCAGAATATACAAGGGCAGGGTCAGCCGCTGTCCTCATTTAAAATGTTGGTACTTTGCCCTCACAGATATATTTAGATTTGTTTTATTTTTTTTAAATGGCACGAACATACCATTTATGTAAATGCTTTTGTGCGCCCTCCCACTCTGCAGCGGGCCTGGCCTCTCTCCTCGCCCCAGCCCTGGCCCCGGGTCAGGGGCTCGGTCTCCGGCGGACACGTGAGGTCCTGTTTCATAACAAGAGCGGCAGGAGCGGCTGCTCAGCTGGGCTCTGCTCCCCGAAGGCAGGGCGTTCTGGGGGGCTGCCGGGAGAAGGTGCAGGACCCCAGGGCAGGGCAGGCCAGGCTGCAGAAGTGGCCCAAGGACCTGAGACATGAGTTGCTCTCCAGAACCGCCTGGTGTGTTCCTTTGTGGTTTGTTTTGTCCTCAGTCACAGAAGAGGGAGACGGTTGCGTGCTTGCTGTGCCTCCTTGAAGCTTCATTCCAGTTGCAAACACCAGGACCTCGGCTGGCCACGGGGCAGTGACCAAAGCCTGAGGTCTGCTGGACCTCCCTCGAGGGTGGGGTGGGGTGGGGTGTTTTTTCACTGGCCACAGGGCTGATGGGCCCCATGGCAGGTGCTCGTGGGGTTGGGGGGCGCCCTGCAGAGATTAGGACTGGTCCCAGCTCGAAATCCCAGCCCACACTTCTCGGTCCCTCCTGTTGTCACTGAGAACTTGGCCAGCTGGAACGAAGTAACAGCACCTTTGAGGGGTCTTGGGTTTGCAACTCTGAGAGCACAAACTCGGGGGTCCCCACTGGGGTTTTTAGTTAAGGGAGTTTCAAAGGAAAAACGATGGAGGGAGGACAGAACTGGCCAGAACTAGTTTGGCTCTAGGTGACATTCCGTGGGGTTTGTTGGCTTTTCCTAACTGGCCTTGGTTACCATGGAGAGCGGAAAGAAACACGCCATCCGCAGAGCTGTCAGAGGAGGCTGCGCCGGGCGGGGGCTGGTTCTGGCCAGCAAGGAGGTTGGTTTTTTTTATTTGCTTTTTTTTTCTTTCTGTTTTTTAGTTTACAGTTCAGTAACATGGAGCCTTCCCCCACTGTCTGCTGGCGTCCCCACCCTGGGGAGGGCTCAGTGTGGCTGAGACCGGCCTCTTTCCCAGGAGTAGGGCCTGATGGAGGCCAAGGGCCTCGGCATGAATGTTCCAGCGACTTAGCACTTTAAAAGCTCCATGGACACACGTCTCGTGACTCCCTTTTCTTGGAGATAGTCTTTTCTGGGGTGAGGGAGTGGGGACCCGGCCCCCTTCTTTATGTCTGAAAGGCTGATATCAGGGTTTGATGTTCGAAGTCGCCCATCCCGTGGCTGCCGGTCCTCCAGGAGGGGCCAGCGCAGTGACCAAGTGGCTGGAGACCCTGTGTCATCCCCGCAGGCCGCTGCTCAAGAGGAACTGAATGTCTCTGCAGTGCCCGCGCCTGTTAGCTGGGGCTCGGGTAACTGATGAGGCAGACCGTCCCCGCTGCACACACGCTTTTCTAGTTAGATTCCCATCCCGCAAAGCTCTGGGCTGGAGGCCAGTTCTCTCGGGGTTCAGATTGGATATTAGCAAATGTTAGAGCTGTGAAATGTTTCTGTCCTCAAAATGAAACTCCCCCCCTGTTATAATGGAAAGGATTGAAAGGGAATTGAAAGGGGAATACAATTTCTTACTCTGTGATTGTCAGTTCTCAGGTTCTGCCTGGGTACCACTGACACGGCTCTGAACCCCGCGGGCCCCACACTTGTAAACACTGGTGTTGTGCGTAGCGAGGTCCTTGTGGTCCCAAGGACCTATTGAGGTCCAACAGGAAGTTTCAGAGGGTGTGAACTATTGCCCCCCTCACCGAGACCTTCATGAATTATAGTTTTAATAATTATGAAATGCGCTCACTCTGAAGCTCCGGGGTTCCTCTGTCATCTTCGCCCCAGGAAGTCAGAATATTGTTCATCATCACCTCGAATATCTCAGCTTGTTTTCAGAAGCAAAAGTAATCGTGGCAGCAGCAAACTATAATCAATCAGAAGTGCCAGTGTGGCATTAAAGGATGATGAAATAATAAATATTTGGTAGTCAGCAAATTCATCACGATGATAGATTTTGCTGTGGATTTTCTCTGAAGCGGCATGGCGGTGTCAGAGGAGAGAGAGTCTGGCCAAGAGCTCTGATTTTCATCAATTTCACTGGAGAAATCAACCTGGAGGCTGTTTTCTGTTTTCTCCAGTAAATTCGAGGATGTTCTGGAAGGTCTGGCCCTACAACTTGTCAGTCTCTCTTCCTTAACGTGGCTTCTCCCAGCGTTCATCTTAGAAGATGTGGATGACTTTTGCCTTATTTACCAAAATCTGTGACCACAATATACCCTAAAACTCCTGTGGTTGTTAAAGTTATCTTCAGACACAGTCATTGAACTTAAATACACATATTCAAAAGGAAGTGACGTCTGCACTAGAAATGGAAAATCATCCTCACTGCCCCATAGGAGACAACTATAAATTAAATACAGCAGGGGCAACCCTTGTATTCGGGTGCTATTATGCACTTAAGGCTTTAAGTTGATTCCCCTTGAAAAAGAGAGGCTGATTAGCTTCAGGGATGTTTAAGAACCAAGAGCAGCAAGATGACACTCGGCTGTAGTTAGAACATCCGAAGCACATAAAAGGGGAGCTGTGTTTATTGTGCCATGGAAGGCCATCGAAGCTTCAGTTCTACCTCACTGAAAAACATCTGAAACCCCCAAAGGTGTGCCCCTCACACTTTCTTTCTGACATTAACTGATGGGCAATTCAGTCCCAGGGGATCTGCTGCTCTTTGAAAAGAATCATGTGACCTCATTCCCCTAGGCCAGTGAGGATGGGACAGGGGCCCCACTTCTGGCCATTGAGTGACACAGATGAATCTTCTGAGAAATCCTTTCTTGAAAAAAGAAAATGTAATAGAAGATCGTCTCCCAGCCAGCTGGGATGCTCTATGGACTGTGGGACTTGGATGCTGAAGACTGAACTAGGATAGAAAGACTTGATGGCTGGAGTTGCGGCAGCCATCCTGTCACCATGAGGCACACACCTACTGGGCAAACCAATGGGCTTGTGATGGAAGATTGGTGGACGGAAAGAGCCTGGGACCTTGCAGACATCTGCAGGAGCCTGAACCAGTGCTAAACTGACACCCAGACATCTTACCGAATAATGACCATGGTGTCCCCGTGGTGTCCCCACAGTGAAATGACTTTTTGCTGAGTGGTTGGCTGGTTACCTGCAGCTGAACACATCTAGATTAGCAAACCCTCCTTTATTCATGGATATTCCCAATTATTATCTTACAGTGCATGTGACCAGCATGATTCCCTAGTGGATACAGGGCAAACTATCCTCTAACGTTCCTAAGACTTAACTCCAAAAGGCGGAGCCAGAGAAGAGTTTCATGGATAAAAACGGGGGAAGGAGTGACTAATAAAGCAAGCACGAGGATGCCTGGTGGTCTTTTGGCCCGTTACATGAATTGGATGAGTTCAGATTTGGTGAGGAAACAGAGTCAACGACAACTTGGACAGGAACAGGAAACTCCAAGGGGAGTGAGAGCTTATGCAGAAGCCAGTTGGGTTTGCTTGGGACAAGCAAGGGGCAAGAAGTCGCTGCTTTCCAGAATTTTCCTTGAACAAGAGAAGAGGTGGCAGCTCAACTCGGGCACATCTTTGAGCTGTGCGAAGGGAGAAGGGAAGCGAACACCCCCGGGTCTATTTTGACAGCTGTATAGGTTTACTTTAGCAACCACTGAAGCAAATACTTGTATTTATGTTTAAATTAAACCAACAGAACAGAGACCACCAGGGCCAGCAATATCTGTGCTATAAGGACAGAGCCCACTGAATTTCATATTCTTTAAGGCTTTTATTTTAGTGGATTCGCAGCAAAAAAGAATTGGGGGAGCATATTAGAGCAGAATATCTTAAATGAGAATAGCTGGGGAGAGGACGCATCTGCCATTTGTTGGATTAACGGGAGAACTTTACCCGAGCCTGTAATATTTGTTTGGCTGCTGTGAGTAACTGAGCCATGGAAGGGATGTCAGGGGAGTGCTCAGACAACGCTGCTCTTATTTCTTCCATCTTCTGAGAGTGCCAGGAGGATTCTACCAAGGCAGGCCCCGAAATGAAAATCACACTCCCATAATATGGGAAACCGAAGCAAGGTTATGAGTCAGAGATGTCCGGGCCTCAGGAAAGTAACTCCACTGATTGAGTCAAACGCATTTAACTCCGACAGCGAGACAGACCGTACATGGAATGATCCCGCTGCCAAGGGCAAGCTGGCGCTCCTGTCACGTGGAGCAGGTAAACCCGACGTCCCAGATCCCCGAGTCTGTGTTTTTAATTGCCCTGAGACTTACGTGTGGGTGTGGACGGAGGGACACAGACAGACATCTACAGACACGGTAGGGTAGTCCAAAGTCCCCACTTAGGATTCCACAGACGCTGTGCAGTTGGGATGCCAGATACTGAATCCATATGTGTGCCTGGGGGCCATTTTGAGACTATTTGCTGAACATTTAAAGTACAACCGATAATGTTTCTCTGCACTTCCCCGACAGCACGTGCAGGGGCATCTGGGATCGGTCATCTCACATCTGGACACCAGATTCCTTCCAATGTGATGAGCCCAACTGCCTAATGGGTTGAAATTAAATCGGAATTTTGCCCAAGAGAAAGATGAAGAGGAAAATGCACTAGGTCATGGGCTCCTGTGACAACAGTTTGTTTTTCTCGAAGTCATGAAGAGTGGAAATCGGAAGGTGTACATGGGGGGAAGCAGGGGGGAGTCCCCGGCAGCCTCTCCTGTGTCTCTTCTCCTCCGGAGGCTCCTTCCACGGCAGACACCCTCCCCCGCCTCCCGGTCCTGGGCTCCGGCTCTGTCAGTCCCTGGCGTTTGCTGATTATTCAGAGGCTGCTGCTGAGGGAAGGACGAGGGCAGGGCTCCCGTAGGAGGAGGAATAGAGCACACTTCCCCAGGAACACAGTGCACGTGGCCCTGTGTGTCCCCCACGAAGGTGACACTCTAGTCTTCTCTTCGAACCACAGGGCCTTCTAAGCTTGCCTCTCCCTTCTGTGGGAACTGACCAAACTCATAGAGAGAGTTGGCCAGATCGCAGAGCCCGCTCAACCTCAAAGCCAGAGGACTGACATGATCCCCCTAGAGAGAACTGGAAGGGTCTACACACTCCCCTCTGCCCCCCTTCTCAGTGCCCCTCCCCCCTTCAGCACAGGGCCTGGGTGGTGTTCAGCGGTGCCCAGTGCTTTGGGGAAGTGTTTTATTTATTATTTTTTTAAAGATTCATTTATCTATGCACACAAGAACTGGGGTACAGGCCAGAGGTGTGGGGGATGAGAGGACTCACCAGAGACAGAGCAGGGAGCAGAACAGGCAGATCTACTGAAATACCCTGCTGAGGGGAGCAGCGGGGAGACAGGAGAGGTCTGGGGCGCTGTGTGGTAGCTCCCTGGCTGGGGATGGAACTCGTGCTCAGAGGCTGGGATAGCTTCACAGTGCTGATGCGTAACCCCTTGCGCCACCAGGGAGGCCCGGGGAAGTGTTTTACTTGATGTTGTTGTGCCTTTGTAAATGTCCAGCATCACTTTTCTCCTCCTGAGGGGCTTCACTACCTGGAGTTCTCTAAACTCCTTCCATTTTGTCGCAAATGACGTCACTTCCTCCAGCTGCTGGTGATTCTCTGCTGTGTGAACAGACCCAAGCCCCTCCTTCACCCAAGGCCCTGGACAGACATGCAGGCTGTGCCCACATCCTCCTCTTGTAGATGAGGAGCAGGAAGGAAAATAAGACTAATATTTTATTTTTAATTTTGAAAAAATAAAGCTAATTGAGGTGATGCTAGTTGACATCAGATTTAGGGGGGTAGGCTCACACCCCTCAGGTGTCCTGCACCGCACCCACCACCTGAGCCCCTCATTATGGCATCACCCACACTCCTCTCCAGGGGCCCCTGGGGTCACTCGGGGCTTCAGTGTCCTGCGACCAACTCTGTTTGCCCGACCGGCGGCCCGGTGACGGCTGGGAGCGAAAGGGCCGTTCTCTCTGGGCTGTCGGGCCATGAGGGGGGCGAGTCCTTGAGAAAGGCGCCCCGGGACGGTTGATGGGGTGTCCTGCGATGCTGTCCACCGAGGCGGCCTGACCATGTGCCTGGTCCTGCCCGCAGCCGCAGAGGCCCGCGTGAGCAGCCTTTGCAGAGCTGGAGCTCCTTCCCGCTCTGGGCTTGTGGCCTTGCTGTCTCCACAGCGTCCCCGCAGCCAGACGCCTCTCGGTCGGCACTCACCCTGGGGGAGTCGGGCTGCGCCACGTCCCGTGTCCAGGGCCGCGCGAGCCCCGCCTGCAGCTTCCAGACCCGGAGGTGCCCGCCCGGCTGGGGAGGGAAGCCGGGGCCGGTGAGACCTGGGCCCAGCCTGGCCGTCCGCGCGCCTTAGCTCACTCACCTGTGCGTGAAGAGTCTTCGGTCCGCGCGAGGGCAGCTCCTGCGCACAGGTGTGCAGGTGTCTCCGGGAGGGTGGCGGCTGCGGTGCCACCCTCCTCACCTTCCTCACGTCATGCGTATTGTTCGGCTTTTCTGAGCCGCTCCCCCAGGTTGTTCAAATGTCACCTTGTCAGGCAAGCGTTTCCCAGAGACCTTATTCAAACTTTCCATCCCAGCCCCCCCAAACCCTACCCCCCTCGGGGTTTGTCTGCATTTACGTGCACCCGAGGTACAAATATGTCACGTCCCCAGTAGCTTTCTGTCTGCCGCCTCGCACAGTAAGCCCCGGGAGGCCAGGAGGGCGGGCGGGCACCCTACTTGGTCCCACCTAGAACAGCGGCTCAGCAGCCGAGGGGCTGCTTCCCGCGTGATGGGCAGAGCTGATGCAGCTGATGGGCGCCCTCCATGCTGCCTGCTGCCCACCAGCGCACCCCCACTGCCCACCTGGGGAAGCACCCTGCAGCAGGCTCCACCCACGAAGCAAGATGGATCTGGGGGAGGTGGAGGCTTGGTCTTCAAACAGCCCTTTCCCTGGGCACCATCAGGCTGCATTTGGCTACCTCCTGCAGCTGCAAATTGACCATTTTACAACTGCCTATTAATCATGCTGTCTGCTTTATGGCGCTGTGAGAGCAAATGCCCTCGGCAGCAAGATTTCTCAACCTTTCGCGCTCCGGGATCACTGTTAATTCAAGCGACAACTTCCCGACGCTTGTCTGCGTGGCTGCCTCTGGCTTCTGGGAAGCAAGTGGTGGCAGTGAGGAGCCGGTGGAATCGGCAGTGTGTGCTCGGGAGGCCCAGAGGGCGCCCCAGGTGCTCCTGGGCTTGGCGGCCATCTTGCTGGGTGTAGAGAGGGCTCTTCATGAAAGCTCTGCCCAGGCCGGGGTCCTGGTGTCCTGGTGATGGGGGAGGGCATGACCGGCGCGGGGGTCCACCTGGCCTTCTTGAGGACGGACGTGGGCATGAGCAGGAGGCCGCTCTCCTTGCAGAGTCCAGGCCTGCAGATGGGGATCCCAGAGCTCACCTTCTGTGAGGCTGGGCGGTCCACGGAGAGCCTGGCGTGCAGAGCTGCTGTCCACTGGCCAAGCCCATCTGGCTGATTTTACCCCTGGAGGCCTTGGGTCACTAGCGGAGAAGCCATGCTCTCTGTCTCTGGGGCTAATGGGACCCCTTATCCTGCTTTCTCTGAGCTTTTCCCCTCTAAGCCAAGCCTCAGTCCCCTCATTTGTAGCTCAGGGTTTCTGTGGGTGAGGAGCTCAGGAACGGTGTGATCAGGCCGTTCTGCCTCCTGAGCTCTCATAAAGTTGAGTCAGATGTCAGCTGCAGTGTCCACCGCATGCGTGTTTGATGGGGGTTTCTCTTTCTAAAGCCCACCACCAGCGTGACCCTTACCCGGCTGGGAGTCGGTGTTGACGTGCCCCTCAGCGGCTGTCCATGAACAGCACGGCCGATTTAATCCAGGCTTCCACCTAGAGATGGCTGTGGCCCCGGAAGCTTCCCAGAGTCAGTGCAACCTTGTTAGGTTGGTGCTTCTTTTTACTTTGGCCTGCAATTAAACAAGAAAAAAACCTCTTCTGCTGAGAAAATTCACATCGACAGAGAGCAAACAATAATCTTCATTAGCGCCTTATATAGATTAAATCTTTCTCAAAGCTCTAATTTTATTCTCTTATTTAGTGCTTATCAACAAATGCTTTAAGATAGAGACATGGATCTTCAATAAAACATCTTCTCATGTTTCCAGCCATTGGAAATTTTGCAGCGTTGAGCCCTGTCACTCCGCTTCAACACAACCTTTGAATTCCAATAAACAGAATTTATGGACCCAAAAGGTCAAAAAAACTGGAAGAAATTGGTTATTGAACTCCTGAAAAATCCTAATTAAAGGAAAGTAATGACATCCCTGAGTCTTGCCTTAATGAATCTTCTGGCTTGAGACCGGAATTCCCTGCGGCGCCGCGGGCCGGCGCTCCCGGAAGGTGGAGCTGTGACCGTGCTGCGGTTACGTGGTGACCTTCTTATGCTGCAGGTTAAGGTGGTTGAGAAATTTTTCTGGCTTCCCTGCTGCACCCCTTCTTCCTCCTCCTTTTTGTTTTTTCCCTTAAGAACCAAGAGTCAAGACCAAGTGCTTCAATGCGGCCCCCCTTTTCCTGACAACAAGCGGTGTTTGGGGTTTTCACCCCTGTGTTCGCTGTGTCCATCACCCAGGCCGGCGCTCCTGGCCGGGAGTCCTTCTAGGAAGTTCCAGCCCCAGGAGGCGCCCACTCCTGCCCATCCCAGTCCTGGGGCCCGTGCTCACCGCCCTGCTCCCTCTCTAACCTCCCCTGGGGGGCGGAGGACCGGGGAGCCCCTGTCACTCGGGCCACCGAGTCCTGCCGGACACCCCGCGTGCACCACCGGCCTTCAGATTCCGAGGGCCCTGCTTGGAAGAGCGCCGCCGGCTCTCAGAGCAGCTCCTGCGGCTTGTTTCCAGTGCAGCGGGCGGGATTTTCTCCCGTTGTCCCCCCGCCAGGCACGAGAGCCCCCAGCCTGGGAAGGGTTCAGACTCAATCACGACGAAGCCACCCTTGCCACAGCCTGGAGAGATGCCAGGCCGGCGCCCGCTGCCCAGGCGCTGGAGAGGGCGGGTGCCAGCCGCGGACGTGCCCGAATTTCTCTTCCGCTGAAGATGGAGTTTTCCGGAGAGCAAAACAAAGTGCTGTGCGAGCATCAGAAATAACACAAGGCAGCGCCCCCCGCGTGCCCACAGTCACCTGCCGTGGACGAGGCTCCAAGTGGCCACTGGCGAGGTTGCCGGGGACCGAGGGCTCGTGACAGATCCAGCCTCTGTGATCACGGGAACCGCATCTCAGCTCTGGGGACAAAGCGGGGCGTGGAAGCTGGTGGCATCTTTACCCCCTAGGGAAGTGCAGGTCAGAACCGAGTATTTTGGGAATAAAATAATTCCAAATCACAGAGAGATTTTGCATCAGGGTTTTTATTTACAAATATGGGGAAATTGTTACCCTTTGTGCCTAGGCGTTGATGCAGCCCCGGGCGCCGCTGGGGAGAAGTGACTTTCCGAGACGTGGCCTGACGGACGCGGAGGGCTTGGAGACGGACGGGCGGCTCTCATCGCGCAGAGCTGGTCCTCCGGACCCTGGGAGGCTCTGATCGAGGCGGAGCTGGTCCTCGCCGGGTTTCCACACCGCCGTCAGCCAGGCTCCTCCGAGCTGTCTTCGCCCATCCAAAATTAATGCCATTTGGGGAAGTGGCCGAGAGAGAAGGCTTTTGCGGGCGGCAGAAGCGAGGAGGAAGCTCCGTCAGGATGGACGCCGCTTGGCAGGACTGCAAGGCCCCGGCGGCCTCCGAGCCGTGGCCTCCATCTTGCTTTCCTGCCCACACTCGGCTCTGAAATGACCACAAAGCTGCTTGGTGGGGAGGAAAGGTGTTTCCTGCAAATAAACCCGTGTGCCTATTCCATCCTCAGGGCTTTTCATTTTGACGCTCAATGTCAAATTTGATTTGTTCTCACATGATGAACGGCACCTCTCCACATTCAGAGAAGTGATTTTTTAAAATAAACGCCGCCGGGTGGACCTGTTGGGTCCCGCTCCCGTGGCGTGAAACGGTCCCTGTTCACGGGCATCGCAGCCCGGGGCCGAGATGGCGGCTGGGGACCGAGCCCGCCCTCCCCGATGGCGCCCGCTGTGCCCGGCCCCGTTAATTACCTACAGCTCCGCCTGCACGTGCAGGAATGTCCCGACGTGGGTAATGAATTATTTCACCATCTAATTATAAACTTCTTCAGGGCCTTTACTTTCTTGGAGGTTCAATAAATCATGTGATTCAAGAGGCTTTTCAGGATCCGGGAGGAGAACGGCCGGGGGCTGAGCTGGGCCGGCTCTGCACGGGGCTGGGGCTCCAGGCTGGGAGACTCAGGGGAACCCCAGGCCCTTCCAGGTGGCCAGGCCATCGGGATTGGGGTGAGGGTGGGCCAGATGTCTACATCAGGGCGACGTGAACCCACGGGAAGTTCATTATTTCTCCTGAATAAGGAAATAAGCAGCAATCGCAGCCAAAGCGGACGTCGGATTTAAACCTCAGTCGGGCCGTTTGCTCCACCTGCAGAGTCATTGGCCCTTCAGGCTTCAGCGTGGGGGCTCTCCCCCTGCTTTGCCACAAGAGGAAGAGGCGCCCCAAAGTCCAGTCTCCCCATCGCCGTCCTCCGGGAGACAGGGGATTTTCTGTTTAAACCCCCTTAGCTGCAGGGTCTGCTGGGCAGGAAAAACTCGCTGGCAAACCCAGTAAATATTTGTGGAATGACGGATGAGAATATTTCAGAACTTAAAAACCAGACATCTGTGTATGTACAAGTATTTATCTTTACACATGAGCAGCTATGTGGGAATTATGCATATTTATTTCTCGGGGGCCTGGCACACACAGGCAAGTCTTCCTGTTGTGTTAGTGCATGCTCCAGAGAAGCAGACCCCATACATGTGATTCCTCAACTCGCACACACACATGCTTGCACAGCACAGCCGTGGACTGCAAAGTCCACCTCTGCCACCTGGAGGCCCAGGACAGTGACAGGTGTAACTTCAGTCCAGGCCTGAGACCCAGAGGAGCCGGGAAGACCCCAGCCCCAGGCGGAGAAGCCCCTCCCCAGCTACCCCACAGGATGGGGTGGCCTCTGTTCGTCCTGGCTTCCGGGCTTGGGTGCTGCTCCCCGCCACATCGGGAGCACGAGCATCAAGTCCACACACCGCAGTGCTGGTCTCCCCTGCACACAGCCTCACACACACCCCAGAAGCAGCACGTTGTCTGGAAGCCCCACGTGCCCCAGCCGTCATCCCGCTGAGACGCCCGGGTTACCAGTTGGTTTCTAGCGGCCTGGCCTGCTGGACTCACCACCATTCTGTTGGTAGAATCTATGGGGTTTGATTTGTTTTTCTTTTTTTCACTTTTTTCTGTATTTTAAAATTTGCTTTCTACATACTAGTGAGATCACGTGGTGGTGTCCTTCTTCTGATTTATTTCACTTGGCGGCATCCCCTCACGTTCTGTCCATGTCACGGCAAGTGGCAGGAGTCAGCTTTTCATGGCTGCGTAGTATTCCACTGCGTGTGTGCTGCACCTTCATCCGTTCAGCCGTGCCCACGGCATTGAGGAGCTTGTGTGTCGTGGCTGTTGTGGCTAATGCTGCCATGGGCATGGGGTGTAGAGATCTTTTCAAGGTAAGGGTTTCATATTCTTTGGGCTGATACCTCGGAAGGGAATTGCTGATCCTACAATGTGTCTATTTTTTAATTTTTGAGGACCCTCCCTACTGCTTCCCATAGTGGCTGCACCAACTCGTGTCCCCACCGCCAGTGCACGAGGAGGCCTTCTCCTCCACACCCTCGCCGACACTGGCTGCCCCCTGGCTTTTCGACACGGGCCTTTCTCCTGGTGTGAGGTGGCCTCTCACGGAGGTTTTCTCATCCTTTCCCCTGATGGTCGGTGAGGATGGGCCTTTCTCCACCTGCTCCTAACACTCACACAATCTCGCAAACTGATATCCCCTCGATTATAAAAACATTGGGGAGATGGAGAAACTTTAAGTTTGAATGGAAAAATAAATATCATTTCTTTTCAAAATCATCTGCGTGTCTGGTTATTCTAAAGTCGTTAGTGTATTTCAGGAGAGTCGATGAAGATGGCTTTAAAAGACAAAGTGTTCTTTGTTTTGGGAGGCTCGGGGGCCAGTCTCCAGGTGCCTACTCCGGGCTACCTAATCGTGATTCTGCCTGCAGGACAGATCCCTCCTGGCTGCTGCGATGATTTCCTGCTCATGCATATTCACCCTCTCTGGGCTCCTGACTCACACAGACTCATATTTCTCCCCTTGGAAGGCGTGAGTCACTCCGAGGGCCCCGGATTTAGGCGCACCTGCCGCAGAAACGCCTGATAGCGCGGCGTGACGGCCGCTTACTTATGGACCCAATCAGAGGCTGAGCTGCCGGTGGCCGGGGCCTCGGATGCACTTGACGGATGTCCCGGTGGGGGGATCGTGGGTCAGGAGCCCTCGTCTGCAGCTCCTCCCACGGGCCTGGTCTATGGCAGGACAACAAGAGTTGTGAACTTTATGTCTGAGTGTCGAGAGGTTCAATTGTCCGCTTATAACCGTGCCTGCTTTTCCGCTTTGAGATGAATTCCTCGTGCTTTTGAAACAATTTTGAAAGGTGATTTGTCCCTGAGCAGCGAGATTAGAGAAGGCCTGGGGACTCAAACAGGTCATGAGGAGACGACCGCCGGCGAGGCCTCGGCAGGGGCTGGCGTCCGGCTGGGCTGGGAGGAACCTGCCTCGGCGGTCTGGAACCGGGCCGCAGATCCTTGAGTTCTTCCAATGGCTCAACGGACCGCAGTCCGTCTTGCCCAAAGGAGACCGAGGGCTCAGGCTTTGTATTTGGGTAAAACGAGGTAGATCGACTTCTAGGGAAACAAGGTGAGCTGTTTTTAAAATATAGGAAAAGGATGATTTTAACTGCGATTTGCTTTCTCACTGAGAACACAGTCAACTCAGAACTTAACTGACGTGTATTTTTAAAAGATCTGCTTCTGCTCTTCCTCCCTCCCCCACCACTGCCAGAACACCAGTGTTGAAAAATCCCTGAAGCGTTGAGCTTCTAGTGGGCATCGCAGCTCACAGGGCTCCCGCAGCTGCTCCCCCAGTTCCCCCGTGGCCAGCACCTGGGGAGCCAGGCTGCCCGTCTGAGATAAGGGCTCTTCTCACCCATGCACGGCGTCCCGGCCTCCCTTGAGCTATTGAGTGTGGGTCCCTAGACCAGCGTGACCACTCTTGATCAGGGGGCCAGAGAAGTCTGCAGAGGCCATGGAAATATGTCCTCCTTGATTAAAAAAAAAAATGGTCACACACAGCAAGGGCCTGCTGGACTCCCCAGGAGACA